GACTGACAATGAGGGCACGGAGCCACTCGGCTCGTCTGCCATTCTGTCCTAGAGCTTCTCGTCTGCGTCCTCCGCGCAGAGTCAAAGGCCCCGCCTCTCTCCGTGTACCCGATATGTCGACGGGGACATGGCGACGACGACGACCCCTCCGCGGCTTCCCGCCCGATGATGCGCCGGTCGGCTCCATTCGTCTGGTTGACGCCTCCGCGGGAGGATAAGGTTTGGTGGGAGCCGGGCTTGGCTCTCTGCTCTGTCCTCTCCTGCGCACGGCATGGCCGGGCACGGCTTGACGGCGGCCCGCAGTGTCCACAGCCCCCGCCCGCCGCCCGCTCGCCCGGCCCGTGCCCGGGGGGGCCGGCGCCCTCCGAGCCGTGGCAGCGCCCCCAGGGCACCCCAGTGCACCCCAGGGGGAGGGGGCGAAGCTGGGGGAGGGGGGCGGAGCGCAAAGCATATTGCCCTTTGTATGGACCTCCTTGCCGCTCTACTCGGGTCAGTCGGCCTCACACAGCTGCCTTGCCGGGCTGGCCGAGAATGCCGCCGCTCCCTGCGTCCTGGGAGGGAGCTCCAAAGTCGTCTTGGCCCCCCTTCAACCCCTCAAGCCCAAACTTCCCCACTGTTCTCGGGATTTCACTTGGCAGCTCATGGCGTTTAAACCGCTTTTGAACGGGGCGCTATAACTGCGAGCGAGACCCGCGGTGGAGGCGTGGCTGGGCCGGTCGGGGTGGTGTTCGTCAGACAGTGCGCGGCTTTTTAAAAAACCATTAGCGAATCCCCCAATCTGGGCCCCGCGATGCAGCCAGATCCGACCAGGCCAGGGATTTCGCTCCGGAAACAGTTCTCCGATAATGTATGTGAAGAAAAAGAGAGCGGGAGAGATTAGTCGATATGAAAGTTGCCGCTGCTGAAGAGGATCTGTTGCATGAAAGGAAACGAAAGATGAAAGTGGGGGGCGGGGGCGTGGCTGGGAGCGGGGGGTGAGGGACGGCCATGGCTGGGGCGGAGCGGACAGTGAAAAGAGTGTCAAGTATCCTGCGTTTCACCGTTACGGGGCGGAAGATTCCTACTTCCGCAATTACGTGTCATTTTGGTGAACAGCTGGCTGAAGTAAGGTTTTCTTAAATATCTTTGAAACGCAAATTTTACCGTCGAAAAACACACTTGTTTACAGTGGTCTTGTAGAGGCGGATTCTCTCACGAGGAGAGGGAGGGGGGGAAGAAGTGGGGTCGAATGAGGAAGACTGCTGACACACACACACGTTGCTCAGCGAATAACACACTCAGCGTGTGTCTCTCTTATTCGCAGGACGTTCTAATTACGTTACACGTTACGCCCCTGGTCCGCCAC